TGCAAATTAAAACCATAATGAGGTATCACCTCATACCAGTTAGGATGGCCAACATCCAAAAGACTAGGAACAACAAATGCTGGCAAGGATGCAGAGAAAGGGGAACCCACCTACACTGCTGGTGGGAATGTAAATTAGTTCAACCATTGTGGAAAGCAGTATGGAAGTTTCTCAAAAAACTAAAAACAGAAATACCATTTTACCCAGCAATTCCACTCTGAGGAATTTATCTGAAGAAAACAAGATCCCAGATTCAAAAAGACACAAGCACCCCTATGGTTATTGCAGCGCTATTACAATAGCCAAGATCTGGAAACAACCTAAGTGTCCATCAGTAGATGAATGGATAAAGAAGATGGGGTACATATTCAAAATGAAATATTATTCAGCCATAAGAAGAAAACAAATCCTACCATTTGCAACAACATGGATGGAGCTAGAGGGTATTATGCTCAGTGAAATAAGACAGACAGAGAAAGACAAGTACCAAATGATTTCACTCATCTGTGGAATATAACAACAAAGCAAAAACTGAAGGAACAAAGCAGAAGCAGACACACAGAATCAAAGAATGTACTAGCAGTTACCAAAGGGAAGGATTTGGGGAGGGGGGGCAGGGAGGAAAGGAGAAGGGGATTAGGGGGCATTAATGATTAGCACACACAGTATAAGTAGGTCATGGGGAAGGAAGTACAGCATGGTGAAGACATGTAGTGATTCCACAGCATCTTAGTATCTCACTGTGATGATGGACAATGATTACGATGGGGTACAGGAGAACTTGATAATATGGGTGAATGCTGCAACCACAATGCTGTTCACATGAAACCTTCATAATACTGTATATCAATGATACTTAAATTAAAAATAAAAAGAAATAGGATTTTCAACATTTCACAGATATTTGATGGCAACAATGCCCTATGAGAAAGGAACTATTATTATCTACATTTGATAAACTTAGACATCAAGATGAAACGTAACTTGCCCAATGTCACATGTCAAGAAAATAGCAGCGCTGCAATGGGAGCCCAAGTTGCCTGCAGCCTGCAGGCTTCTCCACTGTGACTACAGCGTCCCACATACATGTTGCTGACATAGTTGTGTGTATATATATATATTTTAATACATATTTATTTATACTCATTTTGTTATCATTAATCTACAATTACATGAGGAACATTATGTTTACTAGGGTCCCCCCTTCACGAAGTCCCCCCAACAAACCCCATTACAGTCACTGTCCATCAGCATAGTAACATACTGTAGAATTACTACTTGTCTTCTCTGTATTGCACAGCCCTCCTTATGTCCCTCTCACATTATACATGCTAATCGTAAGGCCCCCTTTCTTTTTCCCAGCCCTTATCCTTCCCTTCCCACCCATCCTCCCCAGTCCCTTTCCCTTTGGTAACTGTTAGTCCATTCTTGGGTTCTGTGATTCTGCTGCTGTTTTGTTCCTTCAGTTTTTCTTTGTACTTA